AGAGATATCCAAATTCTCGAAGTGAGAAGCTGGAGGGAACTATGCACATACTGAGTGGAAGAAAATTGTAACGAAAGCCAAGTCATACAACAAATTTTAACAACATACAAGTGGAATGGAGTGATTCACCGCAATAAGCGAATCAGAGAGGTCTAAGTAATAACGGTAAGAAAAGCCCTGATAATGATTAATCTTTTACTGTTGCTTCGGTTTATGTTTTTAATGTTTTCACTTCTCTTTCGATCTCTCAGCGTATTTTCTGTAATTCTTCTCAGTGCTCTCATCTCTGCCGCTTCCAGTAGCCTTTGTATTGTGACTGTATTGGGACTTGTTTCTGAAGCATATGTCATTATTGGTCTGACACTAGCTTTATAAATTCTTGACTTAATCTCAGTATTAATGTATCTGTTTCGCTATAGAGAGTTATATACACTGCTAGTGTATTTGCTTTTTGTACTTGATTATTTTTAATAATTGTAACACTTTACATTTAAACATCTAAAAAATGTAAAAAATAGTAATAGATTGTTTAAGGTACAATTCTGACCCAAAAATATATCCACTAATATTTCATAATATTAGGTACCTATTTAATCCTAATGTACTGAACTTTATTAAGACTTGAAGTACTACTTATCACACTGTTTAATACAGACAGTTAAGAATGTATTATAAAGCGACTCAATAAAACAAAACAGCGCAACACAATGCTCAACACATCAATAAGACGAGACAAGATCCCTCTCAGGAAACACTTAGCGCATAGCGCTTCTTCTTCGGGTTCCTTCTCCTAGCGGAGGTTGGAAATCATCATCGCTATTTTAACTTTATAACGCATAGCGCATAGAAGTCTAAAAAAGTGTGACCAGAAAACTTAACCAGTGAATTAAAACTGTAAATTGCCACAAACCGAACGATTTATTAAATTCTCTAAATCTATATTGTGTTAAGTAAGATTGTTAGTTTGATATTGCAATAAATAACTAAATCAATTTAAGTTTATTCGACTGGGTACAAACTTTTTAATTTCGTCGAGTAGGTACAAATGTTAAGTTGGTATTGTTGACTGTAATTAATCTAGTATTCAAATAAAGCTCGATAAAATCGTTTCGGTAAACACAAATTTACATTTATCACCCCCAAATTTCCGAATACACCAATTTCCATTTGCGCCATCAGCTTTTTATAATAAATGAAAATCTTTCCCAGTCGAATATTAATTATCAAAACACTGTTTTGATTTTTCTTTCTCCTCTAAAATAAATTAACTGAAATTGATTTACAACTGTTGTCAAAAAGGTTGAATTTATTTGTTTTTTGTTACGCTCTTTTATACAGTGTGGAAAAAATATAGACTTCATCATTCTCTTTGCCTTTATCCCTCTACGGGGTCGACTTCACTACTTACATTTCTAAATAACTTTCTATCTAGTGTTATCATCATTATAATTGGCTCGACAATTATTTGTAGATTTGGGCCTGCTCGCAAAGAAGTTGCCACTCCAATGAATTTTTAGCAATTTCTCTCTATTTGCTGATCCTGCTGAAGCAACACTAACATTGCTTCGAATGGACGGAAATAGCAACATCTGATAATAAATCCGTAAACTAATTTGTATTATATTAATGAACCAATGTTATACTAGGTGGCGCCATCCAGTGTCAATGGTAAAACTAATATCATTTTCATATTAAGCATACTAAATAATAGCAAGATACCAAATTTCACTTAAATCGGTTGAATAATTTTTAATATATCCCTAAAAATAATATAAAAAATATTAATAAATCACCCTGTAGAATGAAAACTAGCAACATTTTGCCTAAGAAATTTGAGTTCAAACGCTTCATTTTTAAGTCAACAATTACCCATTAGCTAATGTCCAATTAATTATGGGACACCCTGTATACTGAACCGTTGGTTATGATTTGTGACATTCATATGACTTTTTCCAGGGCTACATTGAACAGTATTCAGAAAACATGGTCTCCCTGGCGCAGCCCATTATTGGTTGTAAAAGGTTCAGCCAGTTATTCCTGAATTCGTACTCTACATTCAAGTTTTATAAATGTACCAATCGATTTGGTGCTACTAGCTCTTTCACTGCTTTGAACATTTCTCTTCTAAATTTTGTTTTTTCTAAAATTTGTCACTCTGCTGCATTTTAGATTTGACCACCTCTGAAGCCAGCCTGGTCTTTTCCTACTATTCGTTCTACATATGGTGCCATTATGGTATTGTGGCCGCTTTCTTTATATAGTTCAGCTAAGAGGTTATCTATTCCGGGTGATTTGTTTCTGGTGGTTCCTCTTCCCTCTCGTTTTTTCCCGTTACCTCATCTCTTTCGTCGTTCAGGTTTTTTCTTCTTTCTCTATATTAAGTACCTAATTAATGTATTCCACTTATCTATTCAATAAATCTTCCCTTGTTGTTAATACGTCACCATTCAGGCTTCTGCTTTGTCTTGTGGTTGCCTTGAATTGTTTTCTGTTGATGTTAACTCTCTTACAGAATGCCCTGAATTATTTCTCTCTGTTAAAATTTTCTTTATATTTAAATTCCTTATGTAATTGTTTACATTTTTTTTTCTTTTGTGTATTATGTTAAATCATATAATGATAAATTTAAGTCAATTCACGAATGTCGGTTGTCTTATTGAATGTAGTTGGACGTTTAAGAATATAACAAATGTCTAAAAACTATCTTTTAGGTTAATTCCTTTCACTACAAAGAATTTATCCTCTGCAAAATTATGTTTTGATAAAATAGCATGTATTTGCTTGTTTAATAGCAATAGGCACATAAATATTTACTTGTTTATTTGCACCTTATGTTGAATTTATTTTATTTATCGTATGGCAATTACAACACATTTAGAACAAAATTACAAACACTAGTAATATAGGTATATGACAAACTTTAAATATTTACAAACAAAGATCAAGTGTATTAATATAATCAATTGACTCTGAAGTTGAAAACAGGAAGTCTTCAGGACTACCATTGTAGGATCTTAAGGGACACTCTTCAATAATGTGGGCGATGGTTTGGTTCTCCCCACAGTCACATTGGGGAGACGGGTTCTTTCCCAATTTATGTAGCATGTGTGCACATCTGCCATGTCTGGTTCGGATCCTATTTTAAGTGGACCATGTTTTGCGTGTAATATCAAAACCTGGTGGCTTGTGGGTAATGCAGGGCTTGTTATTTTCCCATGCGTTCCATTCTTGGGACCATGCATTCGTGATGTTGAACTCCTCATGTATCATTCTTGCCATTATCATTGGTGGTTTTCTAGAACAGAGACGGGTAATTCGTGCATCCTCGGTATCTTGGTGGATCGGCAGGTTTATATTGTTCATGATCTTTTTGTATTCACGTGTAAGTGCGTCAACTCGTTGTAAATGTGAAGGCGGGTTGTGATTTAATACTGGAAGCCCAGTGGTAGGAGTTGATTTAATTGTACCAGCTATCATGCTCATAGTGCTATGCAGCTGAGTGTCGACCTTTGTTACGTGTGGACTGTGTAGCCAAACTGGGGCACAATATTCAGCGGTCGAGAAAACAAGGGCTAAGGCAGTTGAGCGAAGAGTGGACGCCGATGCTCCGCAGGTGGTACCGCAGAGCTTCTGTATATTATTTCTTGTACTCAACTTTTGGGGAGTTTTTGTTAAATGTTCTTTAAATGATAGCGTTATGTCTAGTGTTACGCCCAGGTACTTCGGTGTTTTGTCGTGGGTAAGTGTGGTATTTTCAAACCGTATGTTGAGTTCATTTTCAGCAACTTTATTGTTCAGGTGAAAGCAACTAACTTCTGTTTTGGATGCATTTTTGCGAATATATTTGCCCAATATATAAGTCTGCCGTCAGAACTTCGTCAGACGTTTCTAGTGTTCTGCATATTGTAGTCAGGGCCCAGTCATCGGCGTATCTGAACTTTCTTGATTGTGTTTGCGGCATATCTGCTAAGTATAAGCTAAATAGTAGTGGAGAGATCACTGACCCCTGTAGTAGGCCATTCATAAGTTTCTTTGGTGGGTTGATATCTGTGCCCATCAATACTTGAAACATTTGTTCGTTGAGCATGCTATCTATTAGGCGTGCTATTGGTTTACTGGGGATTGCACAGAGAATTTTGTATATAAGGCTTTCTCTCCATACTGTATCGTAAGCTGCCGAGAGATCGATAAATGCCGCTGAAGTTTTAAGTCTTTTTTGGAAACCCGCTTCGATGTAGGTGGTGAGTGACATTACCTGGTCTGCGCAGCATCGTTCTGGTCAAAAAACCGGTTGTTCGACTGGGATCACCTAGAACATTTCTGTACTGATTCTATTATATATAAGCCTCTCAAATAGTTTGTAGATGGCAGAGAGAAGCGCAATTAGTCTGTAGTTTTTTGGGTTGTCAGCGGGTTTGCCTGGCTTTAGTATGGCTATTATCTTAGATCGCTTTATTTCTTGTGAAATATTTCCAGTTTCCATGATGTCTTTGAAAAATAGAGCCAGCCAAACTTTTGTATACTTGCCACAATTTATTAGTTGTGTTATATTATGTTGAATATAACTCATGTTACATAGGAAAACTGGGCAATCACTCAGGGGTATATTAACCTCACATCGAAGTGATATTAATTTATCTATACATTGTACATTTTTCCTCAATAACTTTTTTTGGACATTCTGTACCATAATGAAATTATGGACCAATGTAGCACTAAACACTCTCCCTGTATATAAGTATGTTTATAGTCTACAATAGTATCCAGTGGTTGTTGTGATTACTGTAGTTAAATAAAAAATACGATTTGTTAAAATACGAATTTATTACAAAAATTTGTTAGTTACAAATTCAAAAAACAAAAATTAATTAAAAATCAATTATAATTGAAGGCACATTTTAAAATCCCTTCCACGAATTAAATAAATCTCATTTCAGCTTATTTCTTTCATCAAAAAGTTTTTAGTTACCCCCGGAAAAATTAATAATGATAACCAAAGTAGGAAAATGTATAAAATTTATTATAAATATCAACAATAAAGTTCTTAAAAGAACATATATTTTTATAGCAATTCCGAAACAACATTAAAAACGGGACGAAATGATTATCACGTGATCCTAAGGGATCAAAAAGCGTACGGCACTGCTACTTCTAATTACCTACCCTTACAAGAACCTAATTCGATAAACTTTGTTAACCTAAATAACTTTATGGGAACTTATCGGTTGGCGCGGGACTCATCGACAGTCTTGAATTTTCTTGTTAGTAGACCCTTATTTTTTTGAGATTTCTGAAACATAAAATAAAAGCATTATAAATTTAAGGTGCACTGGTAAAATATATATTTTAAAATACCACTAAAAACATAAAAAATGAGTTTTTAATTAGATCTTTTGTCCGATAGTTATAAAATTTGTATCAAATATAATGTTAATACGAATACAAATTTGAAAATAGATGATTGCCATTTTATACAACTACAGTGGCACCTCGATATGCGAGCGCCCTAATATGCAAGTGTGTTTTAAGATATGACCCCCAAAGCGAGCGATACTTTGCTTTGAGATGAGAGCAAGATTTGAGATAAGAGGTATCGGTTTTTATTTAAATTCATACCTCTTATTTGAGTACTTCTAATTTGCGTTGTAAATAAAAGGTAGTTTTTACTTCTGACAGACCTGTCAAATTCAAAGGAAATATTAAATTATAATAAAATATAAATAAAACATCATTTGATAGTAAGTTTAATTATTATATAAACTGTATAATATTTTAAAAATAATAATTGTATTTATATAAAGCTCTTTTAAAACAAGTGTGTTAAAAATTAAAACAATTGTCAAAGTAAATGTCAAAGGTAATGTGAATTTTGGGATTCTCTTGGAAAAATAATAGGCAGTTTTATTATTAGATATTGTGTAATTGTGCTTACTAATTATTAATCTTACTTACTTACTAAACACTTATACGAATGACTCTGGAGGGTTCCAAAGCAATGGTGAGAATACATGGAGATATGACGCAGGCCTTTGATATTGAAAATGGAGTTAGACAAAGTGATGCCTTATCAACAACAGTTTTTAATCAAACTTTAGAAGCTGTTGTTAAAAAACTGGATATAAACGGCTCTATTAATACAAGATCATTGCAAATATGCGCGTATGTGGATGATGTTGCCATAATAAGCCGCAACAAATGGGTATTAAGCGAAAAAGTTATAGAACTGAAACGAGAAGCTGCTACGTTTGGTCCATATATAAATGAAAGCAAAACAAAATATATGGAGGGCACAAAAACGAATAAACATGAGAATCTGAAAGTAGACAACCATACCTACAAATATGCCTCCACTTTTCCCTACCTACGCTCAATAATAAATGACAATCAGTCAAGAAATACAAGCACGGATTCTTAGCGGCAATGAGTGCTTTTATGCATACAAAGACTTAATGAAAAGTAAGTTACTGAATCGTGAGTCTAAACTTACAAATTAAAAAACAGTAGTTAGACCAGTGGTCACATATGAATGTGAAACGTGGATCCTCTCAACCACTGATGAAAATCAACTGAGAATATTTGAGCGCAAAATACTAAGGAAGATATTTGGACCAACCCAATGCAGCGATGGTTCGTGGAGAATTAAAATGAACCGGATGAATTATTGTGACTGTGATCTGACACTGTGAGTACTGACACTGTGATCATAGCAACGAATATAGAGGATCTACAACATCTTATCGAAAGCTTGAGTATGAATAGTGCTGAGATGGGAATTACTATAAACGCTAAAAAACGAAGTACATGCTGATTACAAAAAGGCCACAAAATATATTTCACCTATTGACAATAAATGGTAACGTGATTGAACAGGTAGAAAAATATTAGTATTTGGGAACTTTGATCAATGAAATCAATGATCATACTGTAAAAATAAACAGGCAAATAGAGATTGCCAGATCAGCATTTATACGAATGAAGCCACTCCTAACGTGCAAAAATCTAAATTTGAAGATCAGACTACGTACCATTCGCTGTTATATATTTTTAATATTATTATATGGAGCTGAGACTTGGAAATTAAAAAAAAATGTAATTTAAACAGAATCGAGGCCTTCGAACTCTGGTTATACCGCAGAATATTAAAAATATCATGAACTGATAGCATTACAATTAAAGAAGTACTAGAGAGGGTTGGTAAAGAAACAGAACTAATCACCACTATACAAACCAGAAAACTGGAATACCTAGGCCACGTAATGAGGGGTCCAAAATATGAAATTTTGAGACTCATAATATAGGAAAAGATTCAAGGAAGAAGATCTGTTGGCCGAAAACAGAACTCATGGTTAAATAATCTACGTTACTGGTACCAATGCAGATCGTTCGATTTGTTTAGAGCAGCAAGTTCTAAAATAAAAATAGCCATTATGGTTACCAACCTCAGTAGGAAGACTGCCCTCTAAGAAGAAGGATGAATTAAAATGAGCTGGATGAACTAATGCAGAGCGCCGATATTGTTAGATGTGTAAAGTCACAAAGAAGAAATAGAAAGAAGAAGAAGAAGTAGAAGTAGAAAGAATGCCAGATAATCGAGCTGTAAAAGTAGTCCAGACATGGAAGTCCCAAGGAAACAGAACAATAGGAAGGCCCCGTAAAATATGGATAGACGACGTAGAGAGGGATCTTAAAACCATGAATCAGGTAGTGGTGAAGGAAAGTATCTAACAGGGCAGAATGGAAGAACATTGTTAAGCAGGCCAAGACTCACAAAGGGTTGTAGCGCCATTAGAAGAAGAAAGTGAGCTGTAACCAGAGCCCATCACCAGATACCTCATTTGAAATATCTCCTAATCGCCTTAGCAACGATGTTTGATAATTTATTTCTACAGATTTAACGAAAACTGTTGGTTTATTAATACTATTTACTTATAATAAATGTTTAGTAAAATACAATCAAATTATAAGAAATGTTAAAATTGACGATCTCCAGAAATGATGCAATGAGAAAAACGGGCAGTCAATTCTTTCCTAATTTGATTATTGAATTAATTAGTTTAATTAACTAATTAATTAATTAGTTTCCTAATATGAGTTATTTGTGCAATTTCTGTCGTGACGCGCTCCTTAAACTCTTCTACACTATTTGGTCGACTATAATACACTTTTTTTTTCAAATGTCCCAATAAAAAAGTCTAACGGAGTTAAATCTGGCGAACTTGGTGGCCAATTGATAGATCCTCTTATACCTATCCACCTACCTTTGAAAACGTTATTTAAGTAATTTCGTATTTCGACGCCGTGGCATGCGGAAGACCCATCCTGTTGGAACATTAAATCCCTTCTGTTTGGAAATAGCTGATTCAGCTGTGGCATAACCTGAATGAAACAATATGGAGAAATAAAACTATCGGGAAAGAAACTAAAGGCAGAATTTACAAAAGAGTCATCAGACCAATAATGACATAAGCGGCAGAAACAAGACCTTATACAGATAGGACAAAAGGATGTTAGAACCAGAAGAGATAAAAACACTTGGAAAAAATGATGGTAAGACACTATGAGACAGAGCTAGAAGTGCAGATATAGGACGTGGATGTAAGGTGTAAAACATGAAGAACTGGGTAAGAAATAGAAGAGTAGAATGGAACGATGATATAAGCTGAATGAAAACAAATAGAGTAGTAAAGATAAAGCCTGCGAAAACGATGGAACGACAACTTACTGAAGGCACATTGAAAAACAGGCAGAGTCATGAATATAAAAAAGAAGAAGAAGAGAAGAAGAAGAAGCTGTGGCATCAGATAATCCTAAAGAAATTCGAGATAACGAGGAGCAAGTTTCCCACAAAAAAACGTGACCCCATAATGTGATTATTTATAATGCCAGCACAAACATTCACATTCTCCGAATATTGCGTTTCCATATCCTTTATATGAAACTCTGATATCTGTTACATCGTTCCATAATGGTCTCGCAGAATATGATTTTTCTATCATCTTTTAATAGCTCCCGGACCAGATGTATTTTGTATCGCCGCTACTTCTCCTAGCACTTTTAAGCACTCTAACAACAGTTGAATGATGGATAATTATTATCTAGTGCTATCTGCCTCGAACTTATATGGGGATTTTTTAAAACCCCAGTACAACGTCCAGTTTCTTGGCTTCAGTTATTGATTTTCTACCACTTCTGGCGAAATCTTTAACATAGCCTGTTTCTCGATTTTTTTTTGAAATTTCTAATTGTTGATTAACCTTCAGCCGGGCGCGCCGCAGTATTTTGCTGCGTAAACTCAATATTTCCAGGTAAAGTGTTAACGGGATACGCTATGTACGTGATATTTTTAAAATTTCCTTATAGGTTAATCCTGAGTCGATACCCATCATCGTCTTGTGAAATCCAAATCCAATTAGTTAGTTATCATACTTTATTGTGAATAGTACATCGATGCAGACAATTGCTGCAAGGCGCCTGGTACTAAAATTCGCGCAATTTTTTTTTTTTGAAATAACTAATATATTATATATCTTTTTCGAGAAATTAAAATTTTGTACTTTGACTTTGTAAAACGTCTAATAGAGTCCGTAAAAATGACAGAAAGGAACATAACAACAGATAATTTTTATAGTAGTATTCCGTTAGCTATATATTTGCTGCAGAAGAAAGTTACTCTGCTTGTGACGCTGAAGAAAAACAAAAGAGAAATTCCTCAAGAATTTCTTCCATATAAATCAAGGGCAGTTCAGTCTAGCATATTTGGATTTCAAAAAGATTATATGATTACCTCTTACGTGCCGCGTAAAAGTAAGTCAGTCATATTATTATCGTCTATGCACAACGAAAGTACAGTTGATTTTAGATTAAAATAAAACAAAAGGAGGAGTTGATACTGTAGATAAATTATGTTCATTATACAGTGTTTCACCAATTAATAAAAGATGGCCGTGTGTTTTATTCTATAATTTAATGAATATTGGAGGCATAAATGCTTTTGTTCTACATTCCGCTGAAAATTCTGAAAAATCACTCAAAAAGTGACATTTTCTCAAAAACCTTGCAATGAACTTGGTGAAAGAACACCTCCATACACGATCACAAATGAAAACACTTCCACGTGATATAACCGAGTTCCTGTCCAGGATGTTTCCGAAGCAACCAGTACCCTATCAAGAAGACGAAAATCCTGCTAAACGTGATAGATGCTGCAATTGTTACAGTGAAAAAATTAAGTCGTATACTTCTATGAAATGTACACAATGTAGTGCATTCACCTGTAAAAGACATTCTAAA